AATATGTACTAAAATAATAATAACTAGGTGTATCTCTATAATTTTTGTGAAAATTACTACACAGTGTTAACTGATGAGCCACTTTATCTGCAGGAGTAAAATGTGTCCTTCTAAAATCATGTATACATAGGGGAAATGTATCAGTAAAATCGAACAACAAATTAAAACAGTAATTAATGCAAAATTTTAAAATAATAATTTTGAAAAGAAATAATTTCTTCTTTTTCAGAAATAATGATACGTTAGTATTAATTGATATGAATTATATTTATAACAACATACAGAAACATACATTATGCTTCATGGTTTTTTGACTTTCCATTATATAAATATTTGTGAATTAATACATAAAAATAAATTATTATTTTTAAGTATTTGTATAATAAAAGCATCAAACAAAGATTACATAAATAAAACTTTTATTAGAGCTAATATTTTATAAATATTACTATATTTTTTAAATATTTATTAATTTGTTCTTTTGTTAAATAATATAATTAATGTTTAAAAAAAGCACATATTTGATAATATAAATACACAGCAGAAAATAGCTATATAACATTGGAATATATGCATAATATTATATAATAAAAGGTACACTCATCTTATTGTCATATATATGTAACACTTAGATATATATTTACCCACAATAATAAATTAAATGAAGAATATATTTATGTAAGAAATAATTATTTTATATTGTATATATATGTACATATCTTTATTTTTGAGTAAAAATTTGGCATAAATAAAGCATCAAACTAATGTTATTCTTTATAATTTAAGATTAATACTTAATGAATTATGATTCAATATTTGCCTTATCATAGTATAAAGAATAATATATATATAAAAAAATGTTAAGCCTAATAAATTATACTTATATATAAGTCTTTACTGATTAAGAATAAAAAATTTTCCATCGTAGATCATTTATTCCAATATGTATTAAAATGTGTCTTCGTATTATAAATCTGAGAACATAACTTATATCTACAATACAGAATAATTGAATATTAGAGAAATTATTAATATATTATAAGTGATATATATTTGTATAATAAAGAATAAATTTATGAATATTTTTACTATTCTTATGTGCTTTTTATAATTAAAGGGTATGTTAATTCCTTGTATCCAATAATACAAATGCTAAAAATAAGTATCCGTAGAATATTATAAAGTGCTTATTTATTAACATATAGAATATATTTTTATTTATTGAATGGATTACTATTATGTATAA